ACTTGTCATTTAAGTATTTAGGTGTTAATTACTTTGTCTTTCTTTTATTGTTCATTGTTATCATCAGAATCACCGTTATAACCGTTGCCATCATTATATTAATAATAATAATAAAAAACGACTATTAAGACGATAAAACTAATATTAAAGATGATAGTAAAATACGAATAGTACAAACAATTAATGGTGATAGTTAATAATGATCATCAATTTTATTCTGATGATGGCAGTCATAAAAATAATATAAATAATATTAACAATGATAATGCTAACAATACTATTACAAAGAGTAGATGTCATAAAATACTGATATCAATAATGATATTAATAATGACATATTTTGATAATATAATTTTATCTGTTCGATAATGTTAAGGGGAATAATGACTGATAATGATAACAGTGATGACAATAAGAAGAATTGAAACAAGAACAACAATAATGGTGATGGAGATAATGATAGCTTGTTATTTTGTTTTTATTAAACATAATGATGATAATACTTATTATTATTCTTGTTATCATTATCGATATCATTATTAGTAGTCATATTACTATTATCATCATTATTATTATTGTTATTATCAAAATCATTATAATGATTATAATCATTATTTTGATATCGTAAAAATTATCATTATTATTATCATTATTACTATTATTTCATTTTAATTAGTAGTAGTACTAGTATTATTATTTTTATTATTAGTTTTATTATCATTATCATCATCAACAGTATTATCATCATTCTTCTTCTTATTATTACCATTGGTATTACTATTGTCCTTATTATTATTGTTATAATAATAATAATAATAATAATAATAATAATAAGTATTATTATTATCATTATCAGTATATTTATTGTTCTTGTTACTATTACTATTAATAATATTAATGATAGTACTAGTAGTATTGATTTTATTAGTAGCTCTTTTATCATTATCATCATCATCAGTATTATCATCATTCTTCTTCTTATTATTACCATTAATATTACTATTGTCATTATTATTATTGTTATAATAATAATAATAATGATAATAATAATAATAATAATAACAACAATAATCATAATAATGATTATTATTATTATTAGTAGTATATCTATTGTTGTTCTTGTTGTTATTACTATTACTATTATTTTTATTGTTGTTATCATATTGATGATGATGATGATGACAGCAACAATTTTTTATATAAAAATAATATTGATAAAAGTGATGAAAATATTGTAAATGTAATATTAACTATGAAGGTTATAATGACTAACATTGACGTTTACTGTTATATATTTAAATCCAGTGTAACATAACACCAGAAATCTCTAATACTATTTTTATTATCAACTATTAAAGGATCATCATGGTGAAGATTATAACTATGATTCCTAAAATAACAGCATTGTGAAATATAACGATGATTAAGAGTGCTGTTAATATATATATATATATATATATATATATATATATATACACATATATGTATATATATATATATATACATATATGATACTGATAATGACCATAAATGATAATGACAATGATTATAATATTCAGAATAATTATAACAATAATAAATAATGATAAAATTAGTAATAACAATAATAATAATAATAATAACAATTATAAAAATTATAATAATTATAATCATACTAATAGCAATGATAACAATTATAATATCTTTTATTATAGTAACAGAAACAATAATAGAAAAAAAGATAATACAATGAAAATAATCATCATATTATATATACATATTTAGTGCAGGTATTAGAACAATATGTAATAATAGTAACGAAATGAAACATTCTGATAATAACGATGATTATGATAGCAGTAGTAGTTGTTGCGATATTAAGTTATTGTTATTATCTTAATATTATCATATAAATAACATCGTTATTGCCATCATCATCACCACTATCATCGCCATCATCTTCATTTTCATTATCATAATTATCCTTCTTCTTCTTATTATTATTATTAATTTTTCACTCTTTGTTATTACTGTTGCAGTTATCATCATTGTTATATATTCTTATTGCAATCATCACTGTCATTATTGATGATATTTTTAGTGGTTTTACACTAGTGTTATTACACATGACAATATACACAGATACAAATAGCAATTGCAATAATAATAAGAAAAATCAAAGTAGTATTAGCAGCGTTGAGATTAATATTAAGAGAGAAAAAATCAAGCGCTAGAAACAGCTGCAGAGATAACAACACCGTGATAAAAAAAAATATATAAGGAATAAGTTGAAAGAAGATAAATGATATCTCGATAACAATGATTCGAACAACCTGGCGCTGATGACTTTACAAAGCACAAAGCACGCGAGCGGCAGGTAGTATAAAAAGGTTCACGCAGGCTTTAAGAGCATCATTCCTTCTTGGTTCTCAGTTCCGTCATCATGACTCTCAGGGTAAGGTCTCTACATGCCTACTGTCCCGTAGGTTCATGCAAGCGACAGATGCTATAGATCCGTCTGTTTTGAAGTACTAGATGGAACTTCATTTATGTTGTTCGTTCTTATTAAATTTCATGTCTAATGTTAATGGCATGGGACGTCTGCAGATCGCTGTTTTGCTCGCCCTGTCGGTGACCATCATCGCCGAGTCAATCCCAAGATACAGTCCTCCTGCTCCTTCCTACAACGCTCCTGCTCCCGCTCCTACGGTGTGGTTTAGTGATGTGAAATCTATATGTAGAAAAAACAAAACAAAAAAAAAACGGCTATGAATGGTGGAACTTAGCATATTATGATATGTTGCTCTTACATCTGAAATTTTCTCTATAAAGTTACATGAATGTGAACTCTGTACACATACACCATATATATACATATATGTATATATATATATGTATGAATATATATAAATGTTTGTGCACTGTATATAAATGCATTCATACAAACTTACATACACATATACATATACATATAAATATATATACACATGCATATGTGTGTGTGTATGAAACTATTACATTTCAGGAATATGGGATTGATTATATGGTTATCATTGTGGAATGTGGAATTAATTATAAGATTATCATTGTCTAAATTTATTTTCTGCATATAGGGACCTGCACAGTACGACTTCAATTATGCTGTGCAAGATAACATCGGAAACGACTTCGGTCACCAAGAAAGCCGAAATGGATATGACACTCAGGGTACCTACTACGTCCAGCTCCCCGACGGTCGTCTGCAGAGGGTTACCTACACTGTGAATGGCGACTCTGGCTTCATAGCTGATGTTGCCTACCAGGGAGAGGCCCAGTACCCTGCCCATCAGCCATCCCAATCCTACCAACCTGCTCCCACCCCTGCATACGGCTGATTTCATAACGATACATTTTTGGTCTGTGGAAATGTTATTTGTAAATAAATAGAATGCCGACAGAGCTGTGTGTGCATTACATTTAATACAATCTTAGTAATTTACCCAATATATATTTAAGCACTGGAGGCTGTTAAATTTAAGATTTCATCGCAAGTATTTCTTTTTTATTTCTATTTTTTGTGTGTATTTAAAAAATCGAAGAGAAATTTTTAAAATGTTTAAAGCCTCTTAAGTATTTTTGCAGTCTCTCACTCATTTGATGCTCGTAAACCGGATAAACATTCATTTTTGCTTTGGCATATTTCGATTGATGTATAACATGACCGAATCCTTAAAGTTTTCAGTTTTATTTCATTGTTGCATTATTTATTTAATTTTTGCAACTTAAATTTGCAATTTTTTATGGAGCAGGAGGATCGATTATCTAAGAACATTATGAACTATTAACACTTAAAACTATTTAGATGTTAGTCACTTTATTTCTCTTTCTTTTATTACTCGTTATCATCAGAATCGCCGTTATAATCGTCATCATTATCTTAGTAATAACAATGAAACTAACATAATGATGATAGTAACATATGGAATGATACAAATTATTGTAGTAGAAATAGTGATACCAGTAATGTTAATGATGATAGTTAATGATGATACGTTTTATCCGATGATGGCAATCATAAAATAATATAAATAATAGTAATATTGAAAATGCTGATAGTATTACTACTAATAGCAGATGTCATAATAATACTGATGATAAGTACAGTAATGATATTGATAATGACAAATTTTGATGATAATATAGTAACGATAATGTTAAGGATAATAATTACTGATAATGATAACAACAATGGTGATGGCAATAATAACAACAAAGACGAGATCAAGAACAAAAACAACAATAATGATGATGGTGATGATAATGATAGCGTTATTTTAGTGTTTTAAATATAATATTGTTATTGGTGTTATTATTATTATTAATATTATCATCAATTAATACTATTATCATTACTATCATCAATGTTTTTACTATTGTCATTATTATCATAACCATCATCATTATTAGTACTATCATTATTATCATTTCTATTGTTATCAAGATTTTTATTGTCATTGGTACTAGTAGTATTGATTTTAATATTACTTTTATTATCATTATCATTATCACATCATTCTTATTATCATTATCATTTTTATTATCACTGATTTTACAATTGTCATTGTTATCATTGTAATTATTATTATTATTATTATTATTATTATTATTTTTATTGTTCTCATTATTATACTGTTAATGATAATGACAATGATGATGACAGCAACACTTGCTTTATGATAATAATGTTGAAAATATTGTAAATATGATATTAACTACAATGGTTAGGTCAGGTAATGATAATGATAATAGTAATGACTACCATTGATGGTTACTAATATATATCTAAATCCAAAGTCTAATATAAGCACTTTAAAAGAGGAGAAACCAAACAAGTGAAATAACAGAAATCGTAAAAAGAAATTTAGTAATAATGATTACAATAATTTAGTGCTGCTGACCTCAAAGCAACGAGAGTTCGAGAATGTGCATATAAAAGCAGTCCTAAACACCAAAGACATCATATTCTTTCCCACACTACTAAG